TTGAGTGCCCTCAAATGATTCTTCCAACTTCTTCCAAGCCTCATGAGCCATCTCAATATTCTTGATTTGCTCAAATGTTCTCTCATCAATTGTATCATGAATGGCACTTAGAGCAATATCATTGTTTTGGAGAAGCACTTCTTCGGCCGCGGTGGGATTCTCCGGATCTTCAATCTCAATTTTGGTTTCTACCACCTTCCACACCTTTCTATTGATTGACTTAATATGTGTAGTCATCTTTAACTTCCAATAAGGATAATTTGTGCCGTCAAATTGGGGTGGCTTCTTGGTGTTGTTGATTTGAGCCATTTTTACACCAAAGGTTGTTAAGCCTCAAATCACGGTGACATCGGCTCTGATACCACTTGAAAGGTCCTAATGGCTAGAGGGGGGGTGAATAGCCTAATAAAAATTTCTACAACAATACTTAACAAAAGGATTAGACAATAATGAGGCGAAGCGAGTTTTGCGCTAGCCTATCAAAATGCAAGCCACCTACCACAATTCTAGTTTAGATGAAGTATATCCACACAATAGCTATATCACTGCACTAAGTTAGTGTGCTCTCAAATGCTAACTAAAGAGCCACACTAACCAAACTAACAAGCTCTCACAACTAGTTACACTAAAGAGCTTGACAACTAGTTTGCGGTAATGTAAAAAGTAGGCAAGAAGGTTATACCGCCGTGTAGATGTATTAACCAATCAATCACAAGTGTGGATAACAATGAAGACCAATCACCTCGGAATCAAATGATGAACACAATGATTTTTACCGAGGTTCACTTGCTTGCCGGCAAACTACTCCTCGTTGTGGCGATACACTCACTTGGAGGTTCACGCGCTAATTGGCTTCACACGCCAAACCCTCAATAGGGTGCCGCACAACCAACACAAGATGAGGATCACACATGCCACGAGCAATCCACTAGAGTACCTTTTGGTGCTCCGCCGGGGAAAGGTTAAGAACCCCTCATAATCACCACGATCGGAGCCGGAGACAATCACCACCCTCAGCTCGATGATCCTCGCTGCTCCAAGCCATCTAGGTGGCGGCAACCACCAAGAGTAACAAGCGAATCCCATAGCGAAACACGAACACCAAGTGCCTCTAGATGCAAACACTCAAGCAATGCACTTGGATTTTCTCCCAATCTCACAAAGATGATGAATCAATGATGGAGTAGAGTGGGAGAGCTTTGGCTAAGCTCACAAGGTTGCTATATCTATGCAAATGGCCAAGAGAGAGAGCTTGAGCCGGCCATGGGGCTTAAATAGAAGCCCTCACGAAATAGAGCCGTTGTACCCCTTTACTGGGCACAGTGCGGGGTGACCGGACGCTGGCCCTCAGCGTTCGGTCACATGATTCACGCCACGTGTCCCCTGCTTCAAATACTGTTCGTCAGATTTCAACGGTCGTCTGCTGACCGGACGCGTCAGTTAGAAAGTGATCGGACGCTGGACCTTAACGTCCGGTCGTTTCTAGTAAGGTTCCAAACGTAATTTTTCCCGACCAGAGACGTCCGGTCATGCTTGATCGGACACGACCAAATATCCGGTCACAATAACGCCTCCTCTCAGACGCTTATCGCCAACAGACGCCAAGATCGACCGGACGCACTTCTGCCAAATATCCGGTCATTGAGCGACCAAATATCCGGTCATGAGACCAAACGCACGCTTTACTTTGCCACATCGACCGGACGCTGCCGTCCAACCGAGACCAGTGTCCGGTCACTTACAATGGCCTTCGTCATTTTTGTCTAGGGCGCCGGTGGAGTTTCTTACCCTTGCACCTAAACTTCACCACCCTTGATTAAATGTGCCAACCACCAAGTGTATCACCTTGTGCACATGTGTTAGCATATTTTCACAAACATTTTCAAGGGTGTTAGCACTTCACTAGATCCTAAATGCATATGCAATGAGTTAGAACATCTAGTGGCACTTTGATAACCGTATTTCGATACGAGTTTCACCCCACTTAATAGTACGGCCATCAAACCTAAATATAATCACACTCTCTAAGTGTCTTGATCACCAAAACAAAATGACTTCTATAATTTATAATTTTGCCTTGAGCCTTTTGTTTTTTCTTTCTTCTTTCCAAGTCCGAGCACTTGATCATCACCATGGCATCACTATTATTATGTTATGATCTTCATTTGCTTCACCACTTGAAGTGTGCTACATATATCATGATCACTTGATAAACTAGATTAGCACTTAGGGTTTCATCAATTCACCAAAACCAAACTAGAGCTTTCAGCTGTGGTGTTCATGCGTCATTGTCACATAATAGATCACATCCGTTTATACAGGCAACCAAACATCATTTTAGTTTTTCTACATCCGCACATACAACCTCACCAAACACCTTCTCTAAGGGCGTGATTGGTTGCCCCGCTCACGCCGTCCGAAGGCCCATCCGGTATTACTCGGTGCATTGTGGCCGTGTTTGGTTTTCCTGCTCGCACGTTTCGCCTGCATCCTTTCGTTCATCTGCTCTTCTCCATCCCGCACGCCTCCGTCTTCTTAATTTTCACTTCCCTCTCCATGCAGGACGGCTTGATTCACGCATGGTGCAGGGGCCCATGTGTCAGACACCCAAAGCTTTGATGCATACATGCAACCAAACATGATCTTATCTCGTACTGAACCCACAACAAAGACAACCAAACACGACCACTTGCACGAGCTCAACCCGGCTTCTTTGGTCCTGCACAGCCTAACCATCCTAGCTCGAGGCTTGCTCTGCAACCAATCACGCCCTAAGATACCGTTCCACTCAACCTACATGCCCTCCGTCACGATATACGAATTACGATGCAAGTTCTATCCACCAACCAAACACACCTACTTCTTTCTCGTATCTCCATCCTCTCATCTTTTACATGACATGACTATAGCGTATTTCTTCTTCTTTTTTGTTGAAACTTTTAGGACCTCTTTGGCAGGGCTTCGGCGGCTCCGCCTGCCGCCGCCCCCACGAGCCGACAGGGGGCTACTGTTCACCGAAGCCGTTTTTCTCTCCTTTCCTCTCTCACAGCGACCGCCGGAGCCAGAGAAGCTCGTTTTTCGGGCTCCGCGGCTCCAGCTCCCCTGGCACCGAAGCCCTGCCAAACAGATCCTTACTCCCCGTACGTATTTCGATCTTTGGCCACACACACCCAGGATAGGCGGGGCCACCTCCGATTCCCATTTGCGGCCGTGCCCGTGCACTCGCTCAACACTGCTCTGCTTTTCGAGTTCCCGCCGTGCCCACGCGAATTCACCTGACAGCTGACGCGCAGAGCTCCCACGGTCGGCCACCTGGCCCACCTGTAAGCCCAGGAGGGCCAGAAAGCCAGAAAGGTTGCCGCTCACGCTCAGTTTAGCACTCTCGGAGCATCCCACAAGGCCACAAGGCCAAAGGCCACATGATCGATCAGAACCCACCCACTTGCCGACTTGCGGTTGCGGTCTCGCGGAGGCGCACCAGTTCATCACGCAAGGGAAGAGGGAGCACGCGCTGGTGAATTGGTGATCAGCGATGCCGATGCTCCCGGCTGCTGAGCGGCCGCGGCTGACGCTCGAGGACTACATCGTCTTCTTCACCACCCGCAGCGGCGGGGGCCTCAACCTCCACCACCTCAACGACATCATCTACATGCACGGGTTCGCCAAGCTCCACCGCGCGCCCAAGGTACGTACATCTCTCCCCCTTCCACCCCGTCGCCGTCCTCGTCAATTAATTGAGTTTCTGATCGCTGGCGCCTGTTGCGTCCCCCCCAACGGCAGCCGGCGATGGTGGACGCGCTCAGGTCGGTGGAGCTCATGCGCCCGCGCCGCTCCACCGTCCCCCTCAACGCCACCGCGCCGCCGCCGGGCGCCGCCACGGCCGCGGCCGCGGCCGCCGTGCTCTCGGCTGAGGAGGTCACGCGCGGCATCGAGGACCTCGGCTGGCGCGAGTGCCCCGTCGGCTCCATCCTCTCCGTCCGCGCCGGGATGCGGTCGCCCGCCGCCGCGGCGGCCGAAGCCCCCATGCCCATCTGCGCCATCGCCCCCGGCTCCGCGGAGCGCATCTCCCCGCCGATCCTGGTCAGCGCCTCGCCCCTGCCGCCCGCTCTGCCCGCCGCGGCCAGGAGGAAGCGTTCCCTGACGGGCAAAGCGGAGGCCGCGAGGCGGAGGCGCGTGTTGGAGTTGCTCACGCTCCCGTCCCTCGAGACGGTTACCCCGGCCTAGCGACGGCGCCCCCACAAGCTCTCTCTGCTCACCGGTGGTCTACAGGCACGACAGCGGCGAGGTCGAGGTGGCACTGCTACATACAACGAGCAATACCGCTCTAAGTGTTAGGTTGGGTTCGGATGTCCTCAGATTAGCTGCAGTTTCTTACGAGATATTGTTCGTTGTTTTGATACAAAAGAGTTGTGATCAGTAAATTATGATGTTCTTGGGGGATCGGGGCGAAGGATCAAAGGTGATTAAGGGCCTCTTCGGCAAGGTTTATGTCGGCTTTGGCTTTATCTATTTTGCGCAAATCGATGCATTATAACATGAAGCAGTTTTATAAGTCGGAGTTAAAATGAATTAGAAAAAATCGGAAAAAGCCAGTTCACCGATTTTGGCTTCACCGGTGAAACCGTTTTGGATGAGCCGTGCTAAAGGGGGCTTAAGCTTATTCTGCCAATGATGTTTCAAGAAGCTTTTTGTGGAATTGCAGTGAGCTTCTAGTAACGATCTACCAATTTCCAGTAATCTGGTTGCTTTCAATCCTGCTGTTCCGCTGTACGCACTACAGAGAAAATCAGCAGCAGGATGCTACTGCTTCGTCCATGAATCAGCTCTGATCGTTCCTCGCAGTGTTGCATATGCACCGAGAAGGCAAAGACCAACGAAGGCACGCCGAGAGCCCGAGACAGGTAAATTTGCTGTTCATAGAGGTTGCTGCGACACACGACGCAGCTAGTGCCGGTTTGCAACTTTATTAGTACGGACCAAGGGACGTCGCCGCCGCGTCCATGAAGCTGAAGGCGGGCGTGCCCCGGAAACAGGCGAAGGTCCTCGTCAAGGAGGAGGAGAGGGAGCCGGAGCTGGTGTCACCGCCTCCTCCGCCACCGCTGTGGACGCGGTCTCCGACTCCGCCTCCGCCACAGGATGTGGCGCCGCCGCCGCCGCCGCCTCCACCGTGCCAGCCTCGACCTACGTTGGCGCCGATCCCCGCGCCTCCAGGCTGGGGCACGCCGATGGTGCTGCCGCATCCTTCGCAGCAGCTGTTCTGGGGCTTGCCTCTGCTCACACGGCCAACCGCTCAGCCGTGCCCTGCAACGCCACCACCGGGATGGAGCATACCTACGCCGCCGCCGTCTTTCCCAGCACCGTTCTGGGGCACGCCCGTAATGCTGCCGCCATTGCCACCGCATGTGGCCTGGGGCTGGCCTCCCGGCACGGCGCCGCACCGGGGCAGCATGTTGTCGCCAGAGCACCCGCCCATGCACCTGCAGCGATCACCACCTCCCCTGCTGCTGCAACAGCCACCACCGCATTTTCAGGGTCAGCCGCTGCCTGCGCTGATTCAGACACCACCACCTCACCTGCTGCTGCAACAGCCACCGCCGCATTTGCAGGGGCAGCCGCTGCCTGCGCTGCTTCCCATACCACCGCCTCCCGCGCTGCAGCACTATCCACCGCCGCACTTCGGCGGGCAGCATCCACCTCCTGCTCTCCATCAGGCACTACCACCTCCCATGCAGCTGCAGCGGCCGCTGTCGCATTGACGCATTTGCAGGGTCAGTAGCCACCAACCGCCCTTCTTCAGACATCACCATCTCCACCTCCCTTGCAGCTGCGCCGGCTGCGGCTGCCGGCTGTTCTTTCGCCACGCTCGAGGGACCAGACAAATGGAACGTGGACTAAAGATGACCATGTTATTAGCTGCTAGTGACTGCCTTATGCCTTCTGTTTTCTGCTCCAGTTTTACTTTTACCACTGCTCCAGTCTCAAATTGGATTCAGAAGGTAGCATTTCCGCATCTAAGAAAAGAGTCGGTATTTTTTTAGATAATGGTTTCCCCAGTTTCATTCCTATAAACGAAAAACCAACATTCAGTTTAAGTTCACGCCGTCCCCAAATGCGCACCACTTGAAAAGGCAGAAGCATCACTGTCGGCTCAAACAGCCCTTCTCAGTCTTGTTGCTGGTACCATGATCGCCATCTCGGTGACATCTTTGTTGTCGTTGTTAGCACCACCGAAATGACACTACAGCTTTCTCCCTAAAAACAACAAAAATACGATATTTCCATGAAGTCCAAAGAACAGCCGAGCAACAAACATTTTTAAGCAACTATTTCTCGCCACCAATCCACCACTTGGTACTGACTCGAAGCTTGACCCAATGCCACAGTTTAAGTTTTGAGACCAAGGAACAAATCATATTCATTTCTCTTTATCTCGTTTTGCTTTACTGATTTGCTTGCCTTTTCTTCATTTGAGATTTGGCATGAGTTTAGCATCATCATTTGTAATAAAATCATCAAACTCATTAATCATTTAGGCCTTGTTTGGATACATGTGTATCCACCTCAATCCCCATGTGTTGAAGTGGAATGGAATGGAATTTAGTTTAATTCCACTTCAATCCACTTCAACACATGTGGATTGAGATGAATACATGCGCATCCAAACAAGACCTTAATTGTTTTGTCATTCAACCATCAAAACCCACGAGAAGAACTTGATGCACTTTCATTTGTAAAGCTACTAAGAGGCCTATGTACTTTCATTTGTAAAGCTACAAGAGGTACTCCAAACCTTCTTAACAAGGTCATGGTAATCATCCTTTCTAAGCACCACTTTCTAAATCTAAAAAGGTTTTGTTTTCTTGAGGAGTTTAAGCCAAAATCCATTTGCTAGATAAGTGTGATCACTTAGGACCTGTTATGGTAGAGATCCACTCCCTTATTCTCTGATGAAGTGATTCAAGTGGAGTAGGGTGGAGAGCAGTTGATGTTCTATTTGGCAGAGCTCCACTCCTTGATTTTTAGTTCCAGCTTCCTGATCTGTGATGGAGTGGTTCTGGTGGGGAAGTAGGATGAGGAACATGTGGGAAGTGATTCTAGTGGGGAATGAATAGAGAATGGTGAGAAGCCGGTTTTTGTAGCTCCTAGTGTAAATGTAGAAATGATTCTTGTCTAATCGTCACTACAATGTGATTTTTCTTTTTGTTGTTTGGTTGAACAGGAGTGACTATCACTGCTGAAGGAGCACTGCCAAATTGACAAAGAAATGATTCTAGTAGGGATTTGAATAGGGAGCAACAGAGAGCGGTTTTTTTTTACCTCACGATTCCTAGTGTAAATAGAGAAGCGATTCTTGTCTGATCCTCGCTAGAATTTTGTGTGATCTATTACTATTTAACTGAGCATGAGTTATTTTCACGGAGAACCTGCTCCAAGGAGCCCTACCAAATGGAATACAACTCTGAGGGCAGCTTTGACATTAATCAAAGGGCTACATATGAGGAGATATGAAGACTCTCTGTATGGAAGCCATAATTGGTTACCCAAATTGTTAAACTAAATATAATCCCTGGTGGGGTTGTTTATTTCCATAATCGCATGTTCAATGCTAGAAACCACAATAGTTTCTATGCTTGTCAAATCATGTAGATACTACACATGGAAACCATAATTTGAGTGGGTAGTTTCTTTTCAGAATACTTTTTTGTCCGATCCGCATATGTTGGGGCGCCTTTGGTGTCCCAGCATATCAGGTCCCAAGCCCTGGTAAAGGAGGAGGGTTGTGTTAGGCGCGGCGAGCCAATGTAAAAACTTAGCCACTTTAATGGAGATGAAACCCAAAAGAATCCCGTTGGGGTGTAACCCTCTTAACGACGCGCCATGTCGGAACCCGGGTATGGTGTTAAATGAGCAAGGGTCGGGTCATCACCCCCGTGATGCGCCGTTGAAAGCATCTAGGCCCCTAGTTGGGTTTTGGTGATTAATGACAATACAAGATTACTGTGACTAACGTGTGTTTTGCAGATACAATTAAGTTAGGTCATGTAATGGCAATTGATAGCAATCATAGTTGTCATGCCCCTACGATGGAAATCATTTCAGTTTTCAAAGGATGGACGACAAGGTTAAGGATGGACTAGTTCTAAGTGTCGTTTGGTGTTGAAGAGACACTTAGAGTAGTTTAGGACTTTGTTTTTTCCTTTGGCCATACTATTAAAGGGGGGGTATGGACGGGTAGCTTGACCTAGGTAAGTCTAGTGGGTTAGGTGTGGTGCACACTTGTCAAATTTAGCACTAGGTAGCTCCTAAGTAGCCCTAAGATCAATTGGAGCGAACTTCATTCACATACAATTGCGAGTTTGAAGTGAATAGAGGGTCAAATGTTGATCGGACGCTGGTTCCGGTGTGACCGGACGCTGTCGCAGAGTCCGATCAGTTCATTTGATCAAGGTGAAGTCGTCTGGATGCGACCGGATGCTGAGAGAAATGTGACCGGACGCTGGGTGCCAGAGTCCGGTCAACTCCAGTAAGGTTCCAGAGAGAGAGAGAATCCTGATCGGACGTGTTCGGTCAGTGCTGACCGGACGCTGGTCAGGTTCCGGCTACTGACCGGACGCTGAGCAGCAAAGTGACCGGACGCTAGGTGCCAGAGTCCGGTCAACATCAGTAAGGTTCCAGAGAGCAGTTTTTGTGACTGGGCGCGTCTGGTCAGTGCTGACCAGACGCTGGTCAGTGTCCGGTCACAACTTAACTGCTCGGTGGTGGGGAGAACTGACCAGAGCGTCCGGTCACCTTGACCGGAGTGTCCGATCACCCCGTAGAGGCACATAATGGTTCGTTTTGAATGAGGGGTTATATATACTTCCTCTATTCACTCAAGGGATTACTTTTGCTCATTTCAACAGCTGAGAAACACCCTTGAGAGTGCCAAGGAGAGCAAGGTCCTAGTGAGGTGATTGAGATTTGAGAATCCAAGAGAGATGCCTCATTAGTGAAAAGAGAGTAGCAAGTGTGCATCCACCCTTCTCATTAGGCTTGTTGTGGTCAAGTGAGAGTTTTTGCTTGTTACTCTTGGTGATCACCATCACCTATACGGCTTGGTGGTGATTGGGAGTTTAGTGATCATCCGATGGAGCTTGTGAATGACCCAACTTAAGTTGTGAGTGGTTGTGGGTGATTCACCGCGACGGAGTGTCAAAGAATCAACCCATAGAGAGCACTTGATCCTTGCATGGATCAAGGGGGAGCTACACCCTTGCGTGGGTGCTCCAACGAGGACTAGTGGGGAGTGGCGACTCTCCGATACCTCGGCAAAACATCACCGCGTTCCTCCTTCTCTCTTTACTTCAAGCATTTACTTTGAGCAATTCAATTCTTGTCTTTACATTCATAGAATTGCCATGCTAGAGTAGGATTGGAACTTAGGTTGTAAAACTTTTGTGCAGTAGAACATTAGAAACACATTCTAGGCATAAAGGGTGAAGTGGGCTAAGTGTAGGGTTTAATTATTGCAAAGAATTTTAGAATTAGCTCAATTCACCCCCCTCTTGGACATCTTGATCCTTTCAATTGGTATTGGAGCCTTATGCTCACATATTTAGGCTTAACCACCTAGAGATAGATGTCTCACGGGGATGGTCCTTCTCCTATCTTTGAGGGAGATGATTTTCCTTATTGGAAAATCCGCATGGAGACGTATTTAGAAGCTCTAGATGCTGGAATACTTAGAGCCGCCTCACAAGGATTCGCAAAACCTCAGGATCCCACGCACCTTCAAGCGATGAAGTGAACTACGAAAAATGGAATGCAAAGGCTAGAAACACAATCTTTAGAGGCCTTTGCAAAGATGTGTTTAACCGGGTGAGGAACCACAAGGACGCCCATGCACTATGGTCGGATATTTGTGCGCTCCATGAGGGAACTAAGAGTGAGCGTGAGGAACGCTATCATCTTGTAATGAAAAAGCTTAATTCTTTTGAGATGCTTCCTAAAGAAAGTGCTAATAAAATATACTCACGCTTGAATGTTCTTGTAGAGAAAATCAATGGGCTTAGACTCACTCAAATGCAACCATCCGATGTTGTAAGAAAAATCTTAAGTGTCCTCCCCATTGACAAATATGGGCATATTGTGACCGTGCTTCATCAAGGTGATCTTTCCACCGCTACACCAACTCAAATCTTGGGAAAGATCAATGCTCATAAGATGTACAAGCACATCACACCACAAGATGGCTCATCCTCTACCAAGAAAAAAGACAAAGACTTAGCATTCAAGGCTAGCCAAGAGAAGGGCAAAGCAAGAATTGAGAATGAGAGAGCTCAAGTGATGATGAAGTTGATGATGCAAGTCTTGCTCTCATGGTGAGAAGAATCGCCAAGATGCTAAAGAAGCTCAACAAGAATGGCGTCAAGTTTGATGGCAAGAAAAAGAAGTTTTTCACTAGCACTAGAAGGAAGCCAATCTCCGAGATGGATTGCTACAATTGTAGAGAACTTGGTCATCTAGCTCATCAATGCACCAAACCCAAGAAAGACAAGTACAAGAAGTACAAGGGCAAGAAAGATGACTCAAGTGATGAAGATAATGATGAGAAGAAGAAAAACAAGCCATACAAGAAGAAAGATGGCAAGAAGAAGGACTTCCACAAGAAGAAAAATAGGAATGCATACATCATCGGTGATTGGCTCATGGACATTGACTCATCAAGTTGCTCATCCGATGATGATAGTGAGAACGAGAAGGTGTCCACTATTGT